GCCTTGATTTTTGATTATTTAATTACCACAGTAGGGGCTGACTTTGCTTAGACAAAGGTCTTGTCACTTAACAGAAATAATGCACAGTATAGCATATAAAGTCATGGTGCAGTGGAAAAATAATTTATGACTCCCATGAGCTTGGACGACTTCATTCATACATCTCTGCAATGACTCAAATAACTTATTAATAAGTCATCTGGAATGGAAAAGAAAGCATTTTTGCAGGACTACCAAAGTTCATCAGGATATTTTGGATTCATCTTCAAAGCCTCCTCCTTCCCATTACTCCAGACATGCTCTAAGATGTTCATGTCTGCTGACTGGGCTGGCCAATCGTGGAGCACCTTGACCTTCTGTACTTTTAGGAACTTTGATATGGAGGCTGAATTATGAGAAGGAGCGCTATCCTGCTGAAGAATTTGCCCTCTTCTGTGGTTTGTAATGTAATGGGCAGCACAAATGTCTTGATACCTTAGGCCAGGGGTCACCAATCTCGGTCCTGGAGGGCCGGTATCCCTGCAGGGTTTAGCTCCAACTTGCCTCAACACACCTGCCTGGATGTTTCCATAGATATATACACTAGATATCGCAAAGGGACCCTGAGCATGCGTCAATAGCGCCGCCACATTGGTACAGTGCTCCCAGGACAAATGTCATTCAACCGCACTAGTCAAGACAGTGTTATTACGTGAAGATGCGGGACTTTAGCGCTGTCTACGGGTGTAGAAACGAGCAAACAAAGCACAAAGGCAGAACATTTTATAGGTAATATTAAGTTTTTTTGTTCTGAACTTTTGCGCTAATCAGGTAACGTTATTGATGATAACAGTCACTTACTGCATTCACCATAAGGCAAAGCAGCTCCAACTCGCACTAAACACTCGGCTTATGCTAGTTTTGTTGAATAAAATAAGCAAACAATGCAAAAGAAATATGACAACGAGATGCTGCGCTGCCAGAAACTTGTATTATTGTCGGCTAACGTTAGTGAAAGAGTCGTTCGGGGGATTCATTCACAAGCGAGTCACTCCCTCCGTCAGTATGAGAAGTGAAAGCAGGAGAGGAGGTGTGTTTCAGGACACGGATTAGATTAAATTTAACAGGGAGGGTGAATAGTACATTTCTGTACACACAAACACAAGCTTTTTGTCAGGAATGCCCGTGCGGTCACTGCTCCATCAATGTAGAAAAGTGATGTAAAATTATAATTTTCGTAATTAGAAAAAAAAAAATTACATAACATCCAGGAAAACTCCCGATCATAGATATATGTGTATATGTGTATATCTCTGGCTTTGGATGGCCACAGTCCTTCACTGTTGGTCCCGCATTCATTTCAAAGGAGTGCTACCCTGTAGCAAGATGGGGGTGCTATTGACGCATTCCGTCCTATAGACCACAATAGGCCAGGCGACATCTAATGTATATATCTATGGGATGTTTTAAATATACCTAGCAAGACCTTGATTAGCTTGTTCAGGTTTGTTTGATTAGGGTTGGAGCTAAAATCTGAAGGACACCGGCCCTACAGGAACAAGTTTGGTGACCACTGCCTTAGGCTATTGATGTTGCCATCCACTGTGCAGATCTCTCGCACAGCCAAACAAACCATGACTTTTCCTTCACCAAACTTGACTGATTTCTGTGAGAATCTTGAGTCAATGCGGGTTCCAATAGGTCACAAATAGGTGCAGTATTTGTGATGATTCGGATGCTGCTCAACAGATCAGCATCAGAAAAATCTACCTTTCCAAAATGATCAACTAGAAGTAAAGTTACTATTTGGTGCTCTTATAACTGGGATCAACAACAAGACTTGTCAGGTAATCATTTTTTTAAAACTTCAATAAAAAATAGGTAATAGTTTTTTTAAACTAATATAAATAAACAATTTATTTAAAAAACAAAATTTTCAGTAATTATTTATTTTTCAAACTATTTAAATATATGGAGATAATAATTTAATGTTTTAATTGTCATAAATGTTGATGAAAAGAATAAATAAATAAACCAGCCAAAAATGTTTTGTTGACATGCTAAATATTTTAATTAAAATATTTTATTTTTTAATTAATAAAAAAAATAATTTAATTAATTAATTATAGGCCTATTAACACACACTTCTATAATTAATTATAATATAATAAATTACTTGTGACAATAAAATAACAAATAAATAATTCAATAATAAAGGCATGCAAAAAAAAAAAAACTGTATATGTACAGTTAAAAAACAGAATTATTAAATCCCCTTTGAAGTTTGTTTTTCTAAATATTTCCTAAATAATGTTTAACAGGGCAAGGAAATTTTCACAGTATGTCTCATATTATTTTCTTCTGGGGAAAGTCTTATTTGTTGTATTTCAGCTAGAATAAAAGCAGTTTTTAATTTTTTAAAAAAACATTTTAAGGGTAAAATTATTAACCCCTTTTAAGCTTATTTCTCCCCGATAGTCTACAGAACAAACCATCTTTATACAATATCTTACCTAATTACCCTAACCTGTCTAGTTCACCTAATTAACCCAGTTAAGCCTTTAAATGTCACTTTAAGCTGTTTAGAAGTGTCTAGTAAAGATCTAGTCAAATATTATTTACTGTCATCATGGCAAATATAACATAAATCAGTTATGTTTAGAAATGTGTTGAAAAAATCTCTCGGGCTGATAATTCAGGAGGGCTAATAATTCTGATTTCTTTCACATGACATTAATTATTGAATTATATACAATTTTGTCTAAAATATGAATTAAACACTTCATGAATAAACAGTAGTTGTCAGGTTCTACCCAGGGAGTTGTTATTTATTTGACAAGGTTTTACAAATACACTTGAGCGCCACAAACAGACCCTTTAAAAGTCATTTATTTGGTATTTACAGTTGGCCAGTGGAAGCTATGAGAATGTGCAAGATACAAACACTTTCGCCGGTCACAAAAACGCTTCCAGCAGCAGCTGATTGTAAAACAAACTGGCATGAACATCATCTCCGTACAATAAGAGAAAAAAAAAATCTGACGCTCCGCCACACACATACACACACACACACACATTTACAACAACACATCGGGTGCTAAAAATTCAGTTTGTTTGTTACAACCTCCAGCAAAAACATTTGTAAACCAGATTCATTTCCCCCTCTGATCACTGGTCAGTTTTACAGCAATACTATGTTTTTAAAATCCCTGAATCTTACAAATTTGGCACAAAAACCATCCAGCCAATTAGTATCAGAATCGTAACATATAATCGTCTTTTCTACAGCGCACTGATTGATACAGCACTGAGAGAGAGATATATATATATATGCACATTCATCACTAAAACACACACACACACAAACACAAAGTGATCGAAAACTGATTCAGTAATACAGATGCACAAGAAAAAATAAATTATCTAAAAATAACCAATTAAGCACAGCAGCATCATGGCAACAGATTTCCCCTAAAAGTTTATTTCAGGCCATGCCTTTCAGAGAAATGCACAAACACAAACTTAGCATATCGTTATTGAGAGCGATTAGCACTAGCGATCCAACATTGGTCTTAATAGAGGCACTAATGCGATGTACAAAAGTAGCTGCTGCCTTTAGTTGTAACTGTACTGGATGCTACATGAAGCTCGCACAATCATATTCCCATCCAAAAGCAGAGTGGATTGTATTCCCTTTAACTCATTTTGATAGGAAGGATGGAATGTTAGCAGTAATTAAGCTGTAAGGTAACGATAAGAATAAAAAATGCCCTGATAGAGAGATGTGCTTCTGGCACTTTCCATTAATAGAGTAACAAATGTAGTGTTTTTATTGGCGATAAATGCGCAAATTGTTCTGAAGCAGTGGTCTCAAACTTAAATTCCTGGAGGGCCGCAGCTCTGCACGGTTTAGCTCTAACCACCTCCAACTCACACCTGCATAATAGTCTCTAGTAGTCTTGAACACCTTAATTAGTTGGATCAGCTGTGCTTGATTAGGGTTGGAGTAAAACTGCAGAGCTGCGGTCCTCCAGGAATCAAGTTTGAGACTATTGTTCTCATAGGACTATTTGATATTCTGGATTATATTTAGATTAGAAAAGAAAAAGGAGGATCATTTAAATATTTGATAATCACAACGCTGTCATAATACTGTTAAATGTACTTTCACAAAAACTTAATCAAGATTTGGTCTCAAAGAGCTTGGCAGCAGCCGAAGGCCTTAATTTACACGAAAATAAATAATTATTATAAAGAAATAAAATTAAAATTGATTTCTATAAAACAAAAATAGCATTGTTTTGTGAAAACAGAACAAAAAAATAAAGCAAATACAAATCAATATGAAAGCTAAATTCCAAAAAGCATAAAAAAACACAAAATCAAAAAACAAAAACAGAGAAGAAAATAACAAAGCATCAAAATAAAAAGCACAATTAAAACAAAAGGGAAGAAAAACAAAGTAAAATATCCAGAATAGATGAAGACACAATGCAGACCAAATGCAAAACAGCAATATAGAAAATAAACAAATAAATAAATAAGAATAGACTTTTACAAAACAAAAATAGCATTGTTTTATGAAGACAGAACGAAAAAATAAAGCAAATAAGAAGCAATAAGAAAATGAAAGTACAAACAGCATAAAAAAGACACACGAAATTAAACAAAAAACAGTGACGAAAATAACAAGGCATCAAAAAAAAAAGCACAATTAAAACAAAAGTGGAAACAAAAACAAACTTATAGATCCAAAGTAGATGACGACAAACAATGCAAGCCAAAACCAAAAGAGCAATAAAAAAACAAATAAAGAAATAAAATAAAAACTTAAAGAAAAAATAATAACAAGGATTTCTACAAAACAAAAATAGCAAGACAGGACAAAAAAATCAAATGCAGAACAATATGAAAGCGAAAGTCCAAAAAAAAAAAAAAAAACGCAAATCAATCAAAAAACAAAAACGGCGATGAATAAAAAAAAAGCACAATTAAAACAAAAATAAAAGCAAAAACAAACTAAAAGATAAAAAAAAACACAAAGACAAACAATGCAAATCAAAAGCAATAAAACAAAAACAAAACAAAAGGAAAGCAAAAGTGTTTTCTTAATTGTACAAGCTTCACTGAACAAAACAACAAACAAAATGTAACCCTAATTTGTACACTATTTATGGAAAGTGCCAGATAAACGCTGCCGTAGTCACTTGTTCGCTGCTTTGATGGGTTTGCTGGTAACTTTTTATGTCCCTGCTTAATGTAAGTCTGCCACCAAATTCAAAGCACTGTAACTCCGAACACATATTAGCATGAATTGCATATGACGATGCAAGCAATAAAACGGTTTACATCTGTGCTGACAGCAATGCTACTACATGCCTTAGAACTTGTATTTGGAATTGCTATTGACTTATGAATAAAAATAAAATATATATAAAAATAAAAACTGAAGAGTAGAGATGAGTTTGTGGCCATTTTTTTTGTTTGTTTGTTTTGTTTTTAAGTTTTCTGGATGATACGATTTATATAGAGCCCATACTGTTCACATTCAGCCAGCATGCATTTGAACGATGGAGCATCATATTAGCAGGTCTCGAAGAAAAAAAAACCTACGAAGAATCATTGTGGACACTGCAGTAATAATCGCAAAAACAAAGGCACCCGAAGGCTCAGCATCTCGAACTCTAGAAGCGAGATCAGTCTCTCACTAATGATGATAATGATTGATATTTGATTCGTTGGAAAACAGAGCAAAGGGCTGGAGCTTTGCGTTAAAGATGACAATTCACCCAAAAATAAAAACTTGCTGTTAATTTACTCACTCTCAAACTTTGGGGATTCACAAAATGCAAGTGAAAACTTACTTTCTGTGCCTCTTGAGAATAAATAGATTTAATTAAGTAAAATTATCACTCTTTATGTGTTTTGTATACGTGTCTAATATTTGTTTAGTATGTAGTGGTGGGTATTTTGATTTTTGGGTTATGTTACCTCAGATTTAACACGTTTAAATGTGCTTCAAATGGCGTAGGAAACATTAGATAGTCTCACTGAGGCTACAAATTCTGCCATGCTTCTGGGTTTAAGTACGTACGTAAAATGACGTGAATCTCTGAGCGCACATTCAGAGTTTGGAAGCCTACCCAAGTCCATCAGAAATGGGTAGTCTGGTGTGTGGTTGATCACTCTATGAAAGAGGTGTAGCATGAAACCTCAATAAAACCTCAATAATGTATTGTCAGGTGTTATATTTGTTTCGCCTGTAAATATGGTTTGCATTTAATAAGTTACGAACAATTAAAGAGGAAAAAAATAGTCACGTAAGACAAGACCTGTGTGCACATGCGCGAGTAAATGAACAGCAAATTTTCAATTTTGGTTAAACTTCTAAAGCAGATGTCCAGAATTTTGACTACTTCCAGGATTAACAGTCTCTCCAGATCGATGATAGAAGGTAGAACTTTAAAATACGAATTATAAAATAAAATAGATCCTCTCAAAAATAAATCAATAAATATACAGCACAAAAATGATTTATATTAACTCAAATAATGTTAAATAAAAACTAAATGTTGAAAACTCTTGATCATCAACATCAAGATGAGGCTTGATTGGAGATGCCAAAAAAAAAAAAGAGAGCTGTGCAGTAAATCACTTCCCAGTCCAGTCGTCCACAATAAGACGAGAACATGAGAAGCAAACAGGAAACCGTCCCTGTTGGCCAGTAGTTCATAGCTCCAGGATAAAAGACTCCTTCACAACATGAAAAGACAACACCGGCTTACCTGACGCGATAAGCCGAATAATTCAAGAAAAAATAATCAAATAAAGTGTCAGTAACTTCTGCTGAAAGCCTCATGAACTCAAAGTAGTTTCTGAATCACTTCCTCGCAAAGTAAAGGGCCGAATGGACATAAAATTGGACAGCAGTGGAGGCTTATGGTCACTGTCTGTAGTAGGCACCTAAAAAGAGACAAAGTTAGATGTTAGAAAGTCACCCGAATTTGAAGTGTGATATCACAGTTGTGTTGTGAAAGTGTGAACCTTTGTACGCAGCTTCTGGCCTTGATGGAGGTCGAGGCGAGTATGGGCTCTCGACGTAGGCGTAGCTTGGGTTTATGTTCTCATAATGCTGTGTAGGAGGTGGAGGCCTGAAGTGAAGAAACAAAACAATACGAGACTCCAGCAAGACTTTTGGGAGTGTAAAAGTGCTGATGAATAGGGATGGATGATATAGACCTGAAACTACATCACGATATTTTCTGGTATTTATTGCGATAACAATATCAAGGTGGATAATTGTAAATTGTAAATGTAAGTCATAATCAAGGGTGCACAAATCTGGTACACATGACAGAATGCAATGCTAGAGGATTGCTTTTGTGTATTAACGCATTTTGGAACCTTGTTACCAAAGTTACGATAAGATAAATATTACAAACATGCTAATTTGTGTGTCAACTGTGTGAAATAATAACATTAAAGTTATTTGTTTTGGTTCTGTGCCTGAGGATTGGGTTGTGTTGGTCCTAACCTTCGCCCACCACCCATTTCACAATGCCCCAGCCTATGGTCAAGAGCTTTGGGTCATGAATTAAAGGACAAGATCTTGAATACAAGCGGCCGAAATGAGTTTCCTTCGCAGGGTGGCAGCACCCTTATAGATAGGGTGAGGAGCTGTCACCCGGCAGGAGTTCGGAGTAGAGCTCCTTCACATCAAGAGAAGCCAGCTGAGGTGGCTCGGGCATCTGTTTCGAATGCCTCCTGGACACCTACCTAGGGAGGTGTTCCAGGCATGGCCCAATAAGGAGGAGACCTTGAGGAAGACCCAGGACATGCCTGGAGGGAGTATGTCTCTTGACTAGCCTGGAAAAGCCTCTGGATCCCCCCTGAGAAGCTGGAGGAAGTGTTTGGGGAGAGGAAAGTCAGGTTCTCTCCTCCTGAGACTGCTGCCTCCGTGACCCGGCCAGGGAAAAGTGGAAGAAAATGAATAAACTAATATTTAATTTGTATGGTGGGTATTTGGATTTTGGGTTTATGTTACCTCAGATTTAACTCATTTAGATGCGATTCTATTGGCGCTGGACACATTACATAGACTCATTGACTTGACAAATTCTGCCATGCTTGTGGCTTGAAAGAAGACTGTAAAATAAAGTGAATCTGAGTGCACATTCAGAGTTGCAGTTGCATTTGTAAACCGACTCAAGTTTGTCTGAAATGGGCGGTCTGGTGTGCGGTTTAAACAAACTCTGCCAATGGTTCCATTTAAAGGGGGTGTAAACTCTGATATGAGCCAGAGAAAGGTAGAGAAATCTCAGGAATACAACAATATATGTAGATCAAATTTAGGTTTGCAAAAAAATGAGCAATTATATAGGAAAATGACAGTATGTAGGTACCAGGTGGGCTGTTTTTTTGATGGTCCAACCAATCAATAACAAAATAGCTAGATTTTCTATTTGATTTAATGATCAATTAAATATTAAACCCCCTCTACACGAAATGTTTAAATAATTTGTACATTAACTAACCTAAAATAAAAAAAGCATTGTGACTGTGCCTTAAAGCATATCATATTGCTCTCTCTTGTAAATGTGATCTCTTTATATTGTACTTTTAAATATTGCTGTTTGTTTTTTGCAATTTGTTTATTATTGTATTTCAATAAGGTTTAACGGGACAGCATACGCCAGAAGAAAAGGAGTGAGTCAGGCCTGTTTTTGAATACTTAGTCTTGGCTATATTTATATATAAAAATCCACTTTTGGAAAGGAATTTTGCATCTTAATTCTGATGTTCTCATCTTGCTAGAGAAAGAGCATTATAACTGTAGCGTGTGACTGCTTCATTTAGGAGGGTTTGAAAAAAACAGACGACTTTGGAAGTCGATTCCATTACTAGGTCCATTGAGAGACAAGAAATCCCTATTCCTAGTACCAGGTACTTTTTTGAAAACCAGACCAAAAATGTAATGCTAACCCACCTAGCTATTATTTATGAACTCATTTTTACATTTTAAACACTCGACTGATGATACGGAGTAAATTTGGAGTAAAATATAGTTTGTCAGTAAATCAGTTACTGAACTGACTCAAACACTCAAAATTGTATTGCACTCATTCTATTTTAGTACATCCAATCACAGGCCCATTGTAGGTTTTATTGTTATCATTGCAGAACAAGCAATTCTTATAGTAGGAGTGAGGTATTTTGCAAACGTTAAGATATCACCCATCCCTATTGATGAAATGGAGATGTTGTACCTCGCAGGTTTGTGGTTGCGTGCTCTCTGGTACTCCTCCTCTCTGCTACGCACCTCTTCTCGTGTTCGTGGTCGTACTACATCTTCTTGCACTGGCTAATATGTAGGACCAAATGACATTAGTTTCAACAGGGACCATGCATGTGAACAAAACACTATATTGTCAGTCTGACCAGAGGGTGAAGCCACAGTCCTGCAGAACCATGATAAAGAATTGCCTGTAGAGTTCTAGTAAGACTCAATCCTTGATTATCTTGTTCAGTGTTTTTATTAGTGTCAAAGCAAAACTGTGGCTCTTAAAAACTGAACTTGGCTACCCCTGCTGCTAAAGTCTCTTATTTCTGATAAAAACTGTAAAAACTGTGAATATATATTTAATGGATCTTTTTAAAAAGGTTAAACATGTTTGACCAATCAGCATTCAGAACCAGAACTATGCATCTTATATGTTGAAATGGATGTTGCTTACTTTGTATTCTAGATCGGGTCGTCTCCTCTCAATCACTTGTTTTTCCTTATCTTTCGATTTTTTATATTCTCTTTTCTCTTCCTCCATTAGCCGTCGGGCTATTTCCTTAAATCATAAAACACAAAATAATCAGGTCTGGAAGGAACCCAACACCAATTCCTCCCAAAAATTAAACTTGCCGTACCTCATCTTGTGCAACTTGAGCTGCTCGTTTGTCAACTTGGACAGCCTGAAAAAAAAGACAGGTGGTTAACTTTTTTGGACTACAGATAGTTAATAATTATAACCACAGAAACTCAAGATACCTTTAACTCTTCATCTTGTAGTTTGCGTGCCACCTCCAGGTCTCTGAACTCTTGGTCATGTAGGTCTAACTGGGCCAGTCCATGTGTTGCTTCCTTCATGCCATACTCTCCTCGTACCTTGCGGCCTGCAGGGGGCACAACAAGACATCAGTCAACAGGAAAGCACGCTTCTGCCATGCAACTCAGAGGTCTTCAACACTGCCCCTGGGGACCCACTTTCCAGCAGAGTTTAGTTCCAAATCAAACAAACTGGAACCTGCAAACCAAATTCTTTAGTATCACCTGAATCACAGGTTAAGTAAAGTTAGCTTTGCAAAATATGCCTACTTGCATACTATTTAGTAAATGGTCAAAAGTAGTAGTCTGAATTGTTTTTATAAAAGTAGGTGAGAAGTATGTGGATGACCTATACCAGGGGTGACCAATCCTGCTCCTGTCATGCATATTATAGCTTTTACCCTAATGAAAGTGTTAGTTCACTCAAAAATCAAAAACTATGCAGTTAATTATATACCCTCATGTCGTTCCAAACCCCAGAGGTGTTTGTTTGTCTTCAGAACACAAATTAAGATATTTAAGGTGAAATCTGAAACCTCTCTTATCCTCCATAGACAGCAAGGTTTCAGACATTTTCAAAGTTCAGAAAGATACCAGAAACATCCACAAAACAGAACACAAGGATTCTTGTAACTTGATATTCTGATTGAACCACTGAATTATCTTAATTTGTGTCCCAAAGACGAATGAAGGTCTCGTAATTTAAAAAAAAAAAAAATTGTTGGGTGAACTAACCCTAAACATCTGAACTGGCTAATAAAAGGTCTTATTTAGCTTACCAGAAACTTCCAGATGGACGTGTTGAGGCTACAGTTTAGGACAATGGCCTGCCAGGACCTTGACCCAATCCTTCTAGTAAGATTCTAAAGAGACTTTACTATTCTATGAAGCAACTGAAAAGGATTTATGAATGCCAGTGAAGTGACAAACAACATGGCATGGGTCAGAGTGCAATAAATCCAAGTTTCAATTAAACTACATAGATTAGAAGTGACCATTATGGAAGACCATTATCCTGCAAGAGTTAAGCTTGAACACATTTGCCTATAATAGATTTCTTTTTATAAAGTTTGAGGACCTTGATAAGCTGGTTCAGGTGTTTTTAATAAGGGTTAAAGCTAAACTCTGTAGGACAACGGCCCTCCAGGAACAAGTTTAGACACTCCTTATACAGATCATACCTTTTAACAGTCGTAAAGTAAGTTCCAAACCAAATGTAGAGTCCACTCTAAAATTATGTGATTTCAGATGCAGCAAGTGTGTTTCCAGAGACAGTGTTGAAGACCTCTGCAGTAATATATTCAAACAGCATTCAGAGATTTGTTTTAAGATTGAGAAAGGATGATCAAAAATGCAAGTTGCAAAGTTTTAGTGCACAAGATTCCTGCAAACCAAAATCACCAATAAATAGGAAAAAGGAAATCAAGAGTATCCCTTGACAGTACTCCCACCACCAGTAGCACCGCAGGCTCACTCAAACACATGGACACAGGTCCATACCTCTCTCTCTGGAGGAATAGCCAGGGGATTGGCCATCATTTGAGTGGCCTCTGAAAGTGGGTTCCTCAAACACCTCATTGGGACCAATGGGAAGCCTAGGCCTGTTGCTGAAATCCTCCCACTCCAGGTTGTCTTCCGACCTTCCTCTAGAAGGGGACAGACTGTAGTCCAGTTCTCGCTCTCTACTTCTGTGCCTTTCTCTGTTCCCATCTCTGCCTCTTTCTCTTTGTCTATCTCTGCTTCTATGCCCATCAATATTTTGGTCCATTGCCCTGTCCATGTTTCTACCCCTGACATCTCCGCTAAACAAGCGATCTTGACTTTTTGTTCGGTTTCGGTCTCTTTGCCTGTCCTTGGTTCTCTGTCCATCCCTTTCTCGTTCTCGATCCTTGTTCCTCTCCTTGTCCCAAACCCTGTCTCGGTCAGCAGAGTAGTCCCTATGTGGTTTCTCCTTCAACCGCACAACAGGCTCAAAGTTGTCCCCTTGATCCTGTTTCTTCTTTCTACGGGGTTCTGTGTTATCCAGATCGAGAGGTTGGTTTCTTTCTTTCAAATGATCTTCAGAGATTTTTGGTTGTCGATCGGGTGAGTAGTACTCCCTTCCCTTGTTTGTAATCTCTGGACGCTTTGATCGGCTGAACTCAACAGGCTCATATTCTGGATAACGACTATGGCTATTAGGATATCTTTTTCTGTCCGGGTTGGGGGAGCTGTAAGGGGAAATCATTTGGTTGTAGTCACGGTGCTTCTCTTTTCTGTAATCTGAAGAAGTGGAATGAGGGTTCGGCTCCCGCAGGTCTGATGGAAATCGGGAGGCTGTGTGAAAGTGAGTGTGAGGGATGGGAAGAGGTGGAGTTCAGAACAAGGAAGAAAATAAAACTTAACTGGGTTAGTACACATGGGTTAGTACACTATGGATAATGCAGGAAGCAAAATTGTAAATAAAGCTTTTTCTGACTAGTACCACCAACCCACTCAAGTAAAGGTGGTACAGCCAGAATCCAGAATTGTGCCACAAATACAAAAGTGATCAAAATTTAACTGTACTTTGAAAGCCATTAAACTGGATTTTGCCATATTTTAGGCTGTTTTTAATATTAAAACTTATACACATAACAAAATGATTCATATTTAAAAATTCTTCTATATATTTAAAGATATTTTATTGTGAAATATACTTACAGTAGTATAACAATGTCAACTTTATGTCGATGTTAATTTTAGATTTGACTTACTGGCTGTAAACCCACTTGTTTCTCATTCAAATTCTCCAGATTTCAAAATCTTTAAACCTTAATCCCTTTTCTACAACCTAATCTCAGTGCACAATGTAGGTGTCTATAAAAGGCCCACACACTTTTCCGTTCTAATATATGCCAACAAACCAAGACTTAGAGACACAAATAGCTTGTTAACACTCCTCCAGCAATTTCATCAGATTCTAAATTGGTGGGTTCAGATAAACATGTCTGATTTCTTCCTCCTTGCAGAAATGCAGCACAGGCCAAATTGTTTGCATCCTGGCGTGAGAACGGAGCTTAGCTATTCTGTCATGGTTCAAAAGAGAGCGAGCTAAAGATACTCCCCTAAGCGTTCTCAGAGATGGTGAATTTTTTATGTTGTGCCCTGTAGGTGGTTGCTAATCTGTGCTTACCATGGCAGGGTCATTGCGAACAAAATATAAACACTGTGAAGAAACGCATTACGAGCCAAAGCTACATTCTTTAGGGTTTGAGTTTCATTGAAATGAACTCTTTATTAAGCACATATGAATGGTAGATCTGAGTGTTTATTGAGGCGAGCAGACCCTATGGGAACAATACCAGCCAACCAGAAAGAGGCCCTAAACACATTAAAATGATTGCATGAGAGAATGATTACATAACACGTGAAAACAAACAGTTAGAATGCAAATACTGGCACGCAAGGGCGGATAGGGTTAACAGATGCAGTGTTGACATGAATAACTGGCATGTCCAGTTTTGTAGCACTTGTTGCTAAATGGTAATCCATTACGAACGCAAGATGGTCTGCTGGTGCTATATTAGATACGAGGCAAAAATGCCTTCTTAGAGATCCCCAATGTTGTTTAAACAAACAGCAGATGAACATGTGGTCAAGTTATTCGAAACATTGTTTAACTTTACAACAAACAGATCAAAGTATCTGCAGTGCTTTTGACTTGAAATAAGCATTAATGACTGTAATCAGTTCCTAGAGCGCAAACACTTCTAAAAAAAACTGAAACAGTAAAAGCACTAATGTAAGTGTAAATGTAAAACTTTGTCAACGTCCTATCTTCATTTGACTCCTATATCTGGTCCTGACTACATAAATACTAAACAATATGTTTTGTTTTTCATTTTATTGTTTTTTCAATTTCTTTGTTTTCTATTTATAGTTATTAGTTTACATAATAAAAACTTGGATCAGTGTGATAACTTGAGCGTTCTTTACTAGTTCATTGAAAGAATGTTTTGTGTGTGTATTGGCTGTATTGTGTCTTTGCATGCAACTAACAAGGTCATGTTGTCTGTTTTTGTATCACTTCAAACACACGTTTGCATGGCATTTCAAAACATTCGCAGGAAATCCTACAACCACCTCTTTTCCAGCTATCAAAACTGTTTACCAATCAAAAATCCCAATGTGCTCTTCTACAAACTTCCACCTTTACCCAACTGCAGTCCTTTCAAAGGTTATTATATTAACGAAAACTAATGAAAAAAATGAAAACTAGAATTGAAAACACATTTCTTGTAAGCGAAATAAAAACAAAAAAACATTTTTTTTTTTAAACTAGAATTAACTAACTTAAAAACTAACTAAATTGTTTTTGTCTTTGCAAATGTATTTAATACGTAAGCCTTTTGGAAGTGAGGGTGCTTTTACAGCTAGACTTGGTTGGTTTGGCATATGTGAAACCCGCAAAACCGCTTGGATCCACACCAAAACAACCAGTCTGAGATCGCCTGAATGAGGAGGTCTCGGCTTGATTGAAACGAACTCTGAAGCGGATCGATTGTAGTCAGAAAGCAATACAATCTGAACAAGGCTATATCACAGTGTATGATGGTTATGTAATATGTATATATGGCTATATGAATAAAGAATTATGAGTAGGGCGGAACATCATTCCTACCGGCAAAGGTGTGTTTCATGCTAAATACGAAAGTGAAAGCATGTTAACTATTAACGAGAGCTGTTTATCCACTAGGAAAATTGACCGAACTGCAGTTTGTTTGTCTATTACTTCTCTCTATAATGTAAAGCCTGTAATACAGAATTCTAGCCAACTGCTATGTATGAGAAAGTCTAGTAAAACTAGTAACTAGTCCTTCCTTTGTAAACAAAGTCAAAACTAAATCAAAACTAAAACTAATGACAAGTCCAAAACTATTATACCCTTGTGGTCTACACACCTTTGTCTTCATAGAATTCCTCCTCAATGTTTGTTTCCATCTGCTTCTGTCGTTTCCTCTCCTCCTTCATCTCTCGCTCATGCAGCTTTCGTGCAATGGCCTATTTGAATGCATAGAAAAATAAATGTAAATGTCATGAAAATGTCAGTTACAGCTTACACGCACAAGACAATAAAACCAACAAAAACTGGAACAGCATCTTTAAAAAAAAAAAATAAAAAATAAATAATTAAAAAAAAGATTTTAAAAATTCTGATCTGCAAACTGGGTTTTCACTAATCTCAAATAATCATCAAAGCTCTTAGTTAAGCCACTTTCCACTGAACATGACAATTCGGACATGGCTGTCGGAATACGCCCCTATGTGGTAGTTGCACAAAATTTTTCTGTTTTGTCGTGCACCATGGGAAGTGCAAAAGCAAAAGCCTTTATTCTCTATGCGTTCACCATGGTTGAATGAATGAATATTAAAAACTCATCATAGACCGCAAAAAATTTTGGGGGAAATGTGGAGACGGGATTAAAAATAATAATATTTTTTATTACTCATTTATGAATACTTTTTTTCTGTTTCAAAAAATAACGGAAAAGTCCTATTTCTCATCTCGCGTGCATGCACCTGCTCGGACAACACTGAAATACATCATATCTAGTTGGCCTGTCGCATATGGTCTAGTCGCAGGAGTTCAAATATTTTAATGAATCTGTAGCTCAAATCGGATCCTAATTTTCCACACACTAAGATGATCGAACTCCACACAGCTCCTCGCTACTCTCCATTGGAAATGAATGACTTCTGGCCTGTCGCTTGTCCTATAAAAGGCAGCTTTAGTTACTTTTTTTTCCTTACAATCGTATTTTCACAGCATGTTAATCTATTACAGCAGATCAACCAGATAGACCAAGGGTATCAAACTGCTGGCCTGTGAACCATTTGCGACCCTGCCTCGTTCTCCCTCCGGCCTGCAACTGATGTCAAAATATAACAAGATTCGGCCCGCCAAAACATATATTTTTGAATCACAATTATTGTTGTGCAGTTGCATATACACTTGTGGTTTTGACCCCCACCTACTGGACATTTAAGGTACTGTACTATATACTTATTACTTTCGGTTTCTCTCAGTGTGTGACGCCTCATTCACATGGGGCTTTAGCATTAACGCTTGACAGAGGGCGTGTCTGAAGTTGGGGCTGGCGCTGCTATGACGATTGCATCAATGTGCTAAAATGTTAAAACGACTCTTCTGTGAATTGTCAGTCACTGATATGGCCCCCTGCCAATTTGGGTTAAAGACGCCTGATCTAAACCCAGACATCAGCTGTCAATGCATCATAAGGAAACAAAAACAATACTTTTGTGTTGGCACATTCAAGAACAAAGAACATGTGTCTCTGAATGATGTCAATGAGGGAAGATAAATGCCTCATTTCCACTTAGCGGTACAGTCCTGTATGGAACAAAATCAATGCCTAAAGTCTTGAATTAAAAAGCTTGTTGAATATCACAAACTGAAAAAAAATAATACACCGTATTAACAAGTTCTTGCATTTTAATGACTTGAATTCCAGGGTTTGTATTTTTAGGTCCTGAAATTTAACATATCTGTTTATTTAAGCTGTGAATATTTCAACGAAAAATATTTCAAACATGTTTTCATACTTAAAAATTCAATAATTCATATTCAATTTTCAGATTTCACTTACAAAATATTCAATACCCTTTAAAAATACGATGTATAATATTCAAAAGGTCATTTTCAGTTCATTTTATTTCAGTTCTAATATTCGCTTCCATAAATTCAGTGGATCAAATTCGACTGATAAAATTCAACATTACATCCGGGAACTGCAGGAGAAGCAATAGATTGCAGATTGAAGATCGCCAGCTGCTCTAGCTTTCACCAGCAGGTGGAGATGGAATAATGTAAGATTTTTAACCCAGTAAACAGGCGAGAAAAAGGCTAATAAAGACAAAAAGTAGCATTCAATTTTAATATCAATGCCTTGGACATTATAAATAATAAAAAGTATGAGTAAAATGTGTAAATGAGGGTTTAGTCATCTATAATTCCCCTTATGTAACGGAAGCCAGCTGGTGATCGCGTAAAGCTCACTCCTCGGTTGCAGGGACAGACGTTGTTCTGCAATCTTATCGGAGCTTGTCTCCCATGCTGGCTCGTTACCTGCTCGGACCGGTGCGGTTACTTGCACATAAACCGTCTTTTGATCAATATGATGTTACACATTGTCTATCTTTATTGACTCTTTCTTCCATAGATGCGAAATATTATATTGACAGCTAAAGAATATAAACGTAAGTGAAACAGGAGAGGAAATATAATAATAATAATATTAATAATAATAATAATACAAAATAGATAAACATTGACAGGGCTAAGAACAATTAAGAACAAAGATTTTCAAAACCAGAGAGATTTTATGAGAATGTCACAAAACAGTTTACTTGGAAATGGTAAACAGAGTTCAGGTATGATTTAAGGTTGGTTATGGATGGGGCGTCTGATTTAAAATAATTTAACAAGCGAATTGCATTAAAGGAGCGTCTTCAGTTATTCACACAGAACCGTCTAATATGGCATAACTATAAGAAGTAGTGTTTGCGCTGTTTAAACGCAGCTATGTCAGGATTGGGATAGGTTATACATTTTCATCATTTAAATCATTATTATGGTTGTTAATATTATTATTGTATGACATTTATTTGGGCTATTGCGCTTAAATAACTCATCTGTGATTCTAAATTAATATTTCTATTTATCCTTTTTATTACTCTGCCTGTCTTTCTCTTCTTTTTTCAAATTTTTGGGGTTCTGCCATGGTTAAACGTTTGCAAAATGTCTTAGTTTGTCCAGATTATTGTTTTATTGTTATGTAGCCTATAGGCGAGAAAAAGGTAATAACGCAAAAGTGGCAATGTCGCAGCCAATGATAAGTAATAAAATGAGTCGCCTGTGGTTTGATAATAGGCAGTTATAACTGACTTTAATTTGTTTTTATTAAATGAGAAAACCGTTATTTATAACCTTTCAGCGACCGTTTGTATTTTATGATTAGCAATGTTGATCTTTTTTGCAGTTATTAAACATATAAACTTATTTAAACTGGTTCAAACTTAATATAGTTGTCACTTGAGCTAGTTTCATAAGATTAATGTTTATTATGCGTGGTTTGACATGCGTGGTTGAGGGGTTCCTGCAAAGCAGCTCAATGTTCATCCTCATGGGGTATTACTGAGCTTTAATCGCCATCTACTGGAGAGAATGTATTTGCTCATTTATTCTATTAACTCTTTTCTGCAAGTGTGTTTTATGATTTCACAAAGTCAAACCATTATGTTTTTATTTAATATTTTGAGATGATCATATTTAAATGAACAATTGCTAGGGTAGCTAATAGTTTCTTTTTTCTTGTTTTTTAAAAAAAATCAGTAGCCTATAAAATCATAATTTTTGCTTGACAAAGTTATTGGTTTAGGATTCTGGATGCAGTTTTGCTGTGTTGGAAACTCATAAGCTCACACTAATCAATTATATTATCAGAAATGACAGATATAAGAAATCCATTAATATTCATCACTCTTTTTACAATTATACAAGCAATTTCTTGCCGACGTCAGCTCCACTTTCGGAAATGGTAAACAGCGAGGTGTTATTCATATAAGCCCAAGCATGACATATGTCATGATTAATATAATAATCGAAACACTCTTGTAGGCTATTCTTATGCTTGGCCAAATGTCATGACTTTCACTTTCATTTTACATTATTATGCACACGCCCAGATGTCATCTGAAACTTCAGAAGAATTCCTATCATATATTGGCAGCCATCCAGCATCTCTTAACCAGTTTGCTGTGGGGCGCTGGCTCTGACTGGCCACTGGAGCTTGCGGCCACTCGTTCGACTTTGTCGTGAGCAAGCCGCACCGCACATGCATAAAAGCGTCAATCATTTCATTCATTCATCAATTCATTCATTTTCCTTCTGCTTCGTCTCTATTTTAGAGGAAAAGCAATAATCTGGACAAACTAAAGACATTTTGCAAACGTTTAACCGTGGCAGAACCCCAAAAATTCGAAAAAACAGAAGAGAAAGACGATAGCAAAGTGATAGCTAAAAAGGATAAATAGAAATATTAATTTAGAATCACGGATGACTTATTTAAGCGCAACAGCCCAAATACACGTCATAAAATAATAATAATAACAATCATAACTTAAATAATGAAATTATAACCTATCCCAATCCTGACATAGCTGCGTTTAAATAATAACTAAAGACGCTCCTTTAATGCAATTCGCATGTTAAATTATTTTAAATCAGACCAAATCCATAACCAACCTTAAATCATACCTGAACTCTGTTTACCATTTCCAAGTAAACTGTTTTGTGACATTCTCATAAAATCTCTCTGGTTTTGAAAATCTTTGTTCTTAATTGTTCTTAGGCCTGTCAATGTTTATCTATTTTGTATTATTATTATTATTAATATTATTATTATTATATTTCCTCTCCTGTTTCACTTACGTTTATATTCTTTAGCTGTCAATATAATATTTCGCATCTATGGAAGAAAGAGTCAATAAAGATAGACAATGTGTAACATCATATTGATCAAAAGACGGTTTATGTGCAAGTAACCGCACCGGTCCGAGCAGGTAACGAGCCAGCATGGGAGACAAGCTCCGATAAGATTGCAGAACAACGTCTGTCCCTGCAACCGAGGAGTGAGCTTTACGCGATCACCAGCTGGCTTCCGTTACATAAGGGGAATTATAGATGACTAAACCCTCATTTACACATTTTACTCATACTTTTTATTATTTATAATGTCCAAGGCATTGATATTAAAATTGAATGCTACTTTTTGTCTTTATTAGCCTTTTTCTCGCCTGTTTACTGGGTTAAAAATCTTACATTATTCCATCTCCACCTGCTGGTGAAAGCTAGAGCAGCTGGCGATCTTCAATCTGCAATCTATTGCTTCTCCTGCAGTTCCCGGATGTAATGTTGAATTTTATCAGTCGAATTTGATCCACTGAATTTATGGAAGCGAATATTAGAACTGAAATAAAATGAACTGAAAATGACCTTTTGAATATTATACATCGTATTTTTAAAGGGTATTGAATATTTTGTAAGTGAAATCTGAAAATTGAATATGAATTATTGAATTTTTAAGTATGAAAACATGTTTGAAATATTTTTCGTTGAAATATTCACAGCTTAAATAAACAGATATGTTAAATTTCAGGACCTAAAAATACAAACCCTGGAATTCAAGTCATTAAAATGCAAGAACTTGTTAATACGGTGTATTATTTTTTTCAGTTTGTGATATTCAACAAGCTTTTTAATTCAAGACTTTTGGCATTGATTTTGTTCCATAGTCCTGGTACAGTCCAGTTCAGTGAAATACAGTTCGGTCACCCTGATCAGGCTTGTGTTTTCACTGAAAACAAGCATACCCCATACTTTGCAGGCTTGGTGTTCGCCAGAATGTTGTAATCGAGGTCATTCTCACTTAAAGACGATAGCTACGTGTCTATTGCAAACTTTAAGTTCATTATTTCAAGAGTGTATGTGCGACAAACATACGCAAACAGAGAGAAAAGGCATCAACATTCACGCTTTTCACACATTTAGATGGTCCTTGCAAACGGTCCCATAAACAACAATGGAGGACTGCAAATCCTGTTCTTGGTATTTTGCTTTTTGTCACAAAAAGACCACAAGCTTTGTTGGAGCATGGTTCCTTTCTGTGCATCACTAAAGTATTATTATAGTGTCATGCTTTGGCTGTGTAATTAAAATGCTGCCAGTTTCCAGTTCTTCCCAATTGGTACTGTACTGCTGTGCTAGATACTCGTAGGAAAGGGTGCCACAAAGTGTTATTGTACGGTTAACTATTTAGGTACCTTTGATGTATTGCAGTTCTTTAATGAACATGTATTATTGTGCCCAAACTACAAATAATGGTTCTTACAATTATCTGTACTGAAATTATAGAGAAAACTGTGGAACACTTTACTTTTCTCTGAAAAAAAGGAAAGCCAAATAATAGCTTTTATTTGCAATATTATTTAATGTTATAAATGCATTTACTTTCACTCTTAAACATTTTATTATTATAATACAATTTTAATGGTTCTTTTGAATGGTATTGTCTCATTTTCAGCAACTTCTAATTATAGAATATTTTGAAGGATTAAAATTAATCTTCCAACCACAAGGATTAATGAAAATGAACACTATATTCAATAAAATGTATTTTACTTTGCAATAACATTTAATTATTTAGTTTCTTTTATTTTCTATGAAATAAACGCAGCCTTTGCGAGCAGAATAAGCTTATAATAAAATATGATATAAGTTTTACTGATTCCAAACTTTTGACTGCTGGCGTTTATAAAAGTGTATACAGTTAAAGTCTGAATTATTAGTCCTCCTGCTAAATTTAAATTCTTTTATATTTTTACCCCAATTTCTGTTTAACAGAGATAATTTTTTTTTAACACATTTCTGTGACATAACTGACTTCTTTTATCTTTGCCATGGTGACACTAGGCATGGGACGATAACTGTTATCAAGGTTTACCACGATTTGGAAAAATCAAGGTTTTAAAACCACAAGAATTTTCAGTTATACCATTCCTAAGGCATTTGTAAGTGTTTTTATTTTATTTTATTATTTTTTATATGTTTTTTCCATTTATTTTTATTTATTCATTCTTTTAGGGCAACAGTATTGCCAGCAGAAAAGGACCATTCACATCAAAAGCTTCTGGTCACAATACAGCAAACATATGAGAAATAAACCCTTCATAAACCGACATTTTATGAAGCTTTTTGCATCCTATCCCTTACTTTAAATCCAAAGGAAAAAAAAAGATATTCAAAGATGCTTTTTTCAAGAAATCTGTTTTGTAAACTAATTAAGTTAGCAGGTCAATGATATTAATTGCTTAGCCATTCATCCATTTATTTATTTTCTATCGATTTTCCAGGGCTGGGTCGCAGGGGCAGCAGTCTTAGGAGAGAACCCTAGACTTCCCTCTCCCCAGACACTTCCTCCAGCTCCACCAGGGGGATCCCGAGGTGTTCCCAGGCCAGCCGAGAGACATAGTCCCTCCAGTGTGTCCTGGGTCTTCCCTAGGTAGGTGTCCAGGAGGCATCCAAAACAAATGCCCAAGCCTCCTCAGCTGACTTCTCTCGATGTGGAGGAGCAGCGGCTCTACTCCAAGCTCCTCCCGGGTGTCAGAGCTCCTCACCCTATCTATAAGGGTGCGCCCTGCCACCCTTAGAAGCAAACTCATTTCAGCCGTATCTGAGATCTTGTCCTTTCGGTCAAGACCCACAGCTCATGACCACAACAGAGTAGGAACATAGATTGACCGGTAAATTGAAAGCTTTGCCTTTCAGCTCAGCTCCTTCTTTACCACAACAGACCGGTGCATTGACTGCATTACTGCTGCACCAATCCACCTGGGGTAAGGACTTTCCTCCAACCTGGAGATGGCAAACCACCTTTTTCCAGTGGAGCACAATGGCCTCGGACTTGGAGGTGCTGATTCTCATCCCAGCTGCGTCACACTCGGCAGCAAACCGCTCCTTTGCATGCTGAAGGTCCATGTTCGATGAAGCCAACAGAACAACATCGTCTGCGAATAACAGAGATAAAATCCTGTAGTCCCTGAACCGGACACCCTCCAGCCCAAGGCTGTGCCTTGAAATTCTGTTCATAAAAATTATGAACAGAATTGGTGACAAGAGGTAGACCTGCCAGAGCCCAACATGCACTGGAAACAAGTCTGACTTATTGCCGGCAATGCGAACCAGACTACTACTCTGTTCAAACAGGGACGCAACAGCTCTTAACAAAGCGCCTCTGACCCTATAATCCCCGAGCACCCTCCACAGAATGCCACGAGGGACACGGTCGAATGCCTTCTCCAAGCACACAAAACACATGTGGACTGGTTGGGCATACGCCCATGAAAGCTCGAGCACCCTGGTAAGTATAGAGCTGGTACAATGTACCATGGCCTGGACAAAAATCACATTGTTCCTCCTGGATCCTAGGTTCAACTGTTTACTGTTCCAAAATACTTAAAATGATATACTGTAGCTCAAAAAATATAGCTTAAGGGGACAGATAATATTGACCTTAAAATGGTTATAAACCATATTCAAAACTGCTTTTATTCTAGATGAAATAAAACAAATAAGACTTTCTGCAGGAGAAAAAAATACTATCAGACATACTGTGAAAAACTGAAATGATAAACATAATTTATATTTGACTTGTATGTCATCCTTTAAAAATAACAAAGTAGTCAACAAAAGCACTGCTGTATCATGGGTGTGAATACTTATGACCTATACACAGAAAACGCCAGTATCTGTTCTACAAACACAATCACGCTGATGTCATGTGACCGCTGTGGGCATGGCTAAGGCAATGATGACCAGCACAAGTGACTACTGGGAAAGACGGCTCTCACCTCGTCTTTCTCCTCCTGCTGCCGCTGCTGTTCAGCCTGTCGGACCAGTTGATCTTGAATCTCCTGAGCAATTTCATTGTCAATGCGTTCGCTGGAGGGACAGAGAAAAACAGTTGAGTTTACACATCGAGATCTTGCATCATCCAGTGTGGGTTTCACTTCCTATGTTTAATTTTTTGTCGGGGGACTAAAATAAAGTGCACTGGGTTATAAAAAGTCAACATGGCAGTATTAAACAGGGCAGCTATTGGCAAACTTTTTGCAAAACTTATAGGCAAAATATTTCGTTAATGATTTTAAAGGCAAAAGAAGCGGAGGTTAATTCATGTTAAATTTAAAAACCTGGAATGAAATTTTTTTTGGTTCATATATTTATTTACAATTATAATATATAAAAATGTATCCATATGTTAAATTCACTTGTTTTTGTGATTAATGTCTATTGATTTGAATATTGAATTTGATTATGCTTTTTACTTTTAAATTGAGTTTTAATTTCATTTTGGTCTGTTTATTTCAGTTGAACTAGTTTTAGTTGTTTGATTTAAACCATTTCAGAAACAAGTCCAAGTTTACATTGTTCATGTAATATGCAGTTGAACTTTTTTGTGACGTTAAAAACTTTAATTTCCAGTTTTTGTTTGACTAACACTTTTTTTTACTTTTTTACTTTTTTACTAAGCATTTTATCCATTTCCTATTTATATTATTTTGCTTTACAAAACATGAAAGCACTAAATATAACATTATAATTAGTGTACACTACCGGCCAAAAGTTTGGGGTAATTTATTTTTTCAAATTTTTACATTTCATTAAGGCAGAATTTATTAAATGTAAAAAATAAAATAAAATAATAACAAAAAAAAAATATAATATAATTTATAGTAAATATATATAATACTGTTAAAAAAGTATTTAAAGATTTACTATTTACTTTATGTATTTTTGAATGAAATTATTACTATTATTGTTTCATTATTGTTTTAAATATATAAATATAAATTAAATGATAAACTACTTTTGAACAGTTGTTTTATAGTGCAAACATTTCATAATTTTACCATCTTTAGGTGAGGAGGAAAAGCTTATTTTTAACTTTTAAAAATCGTACTGACCAAAAACTTTGGACCAGGAGTGTATATTCCTATTATAATAATAATTATTGTTTACTAATCTGACTTAGCAAATAATACTTGTATTAAAGTTACAGAGTTAATTAATTAGCATTTATATTTTCAGTTTCCATTTGTGCTCATTTTGTAAACAAATAAATTAAATGTATATAAATTAATAAATAATCAATTTGAGCTTAATCTGTAATTTGCTATAGGTTTAGCTCATATACAGCTTGATTTCAATTACTAAAAACTACAGCACCGATTTAGTTAATAACAGCATAGAAAAAATGTATATTTGGCCCTTTTTTCCCCTAAAGTTTGTGTACTCCTAATAGTCTTGCATTTTTTTTGTTAGAGCCATTGTTTTTGCTAAAACATGTTAAAAACGTGTTTAATCCTAGGAGCAATGCCAATCCGGTGTCTAGATTTACACCAGTTTGGGAGATTAATTAACACATAAATAGCCATGTGATTACTGTTCAGAGAGTAAGTAGTAAAGCAATCCCATTACAACCTAGATAATGTAATTAGCTTGACTCAAAGCCATGTGTAAGAGGCAGCACAACCTTTTTAATCAAACACTTCTATGCTCACAGAGATTTTATTTATTTGATCGATAATACACTTAAAACAACAATATTGTGGAATATTACAACAATTACATTTTTTCTATTTTTTTCTAAAGGTAAAGTGAGTGAGATAAAGAGACAAGGATTTAATTATAACTTAATCTCTTGATAGAAATAAAACCTTGAACCCTGTTTTTCATAAGATAGACAATACATGAAAGACATCCATATTGTTGTTGAGTGCAAGACATTGAATGCAACGCCTTAGCAACTGAATAGTTTCTTATTCTGTTTTTATTATTATTTATTTTTTTCATTCAACTGACAAATAATAAAAAAAAGTTTAGTATTTAAGACCTTTTACATGCCACTGTTTCTTTTCAGTGTGTATAAGTAAAAAAAAAACAAAGTTGAAATAAAAAAAAAAGAAATCCACTATTTAGAGCTGTAACTACTCTTAGAGTTGTTTGACATCTCTCACTCTTAGGGTGCTTTCACACCTACACTTTTGCTTCGGAACGTATCTCGTTTGCCCAGTTAGAGCAGTTCGTTTGGCATATGTGAACAGGGCAATCGCGCTCTGTTCTGCGCCAAAGTAATCGCTAGCGGTCTCGGCTCGATTGAAACGAAGCCTGGAGAGGTTCGATTGCAGTGAGAAAGCGATCCAATCCGAACTTGGTTATATCACAGTGTTTTATGGATATGTAATAGGCATACGGCTATATGAAGACAGAATTATGAGTAGGGCGGGAAGTTTCGCGAGTCTCCGGATGCCCGCAAGTGAGTGATGATCTCCCGGTAATCTCGCGTCTCCCTCCCGGTCCTTTAATAGGCATCGTCGCGCACCCTTCTCACCCCTCCCCACCGCATCTCTCCTCAGACATGTCGCGCACGCACCCTGTCAATCACCACTAAACCACCACCTCTCCTGACAGCTGAGCGGGACGCTGCAAAATAAGCCCTGACACTCTGATCAATGTAAGGAGAGTTTACTCACACATAACTTGTTTTAGCTCTTTTGTTCCGATTAGAAACTTTGCAGTGTGAAAGCGAACCGCTCCAAGAGCAAAGAGCAACAATGTAACAATTGTAATCTCTGTTTCGGAAAAATTGAATTGATTCACCGCTGTGAAAGCACCCTTACAGATGTGCTTCACTTACAGGTAAAATCTGCCCCCCACGCTCCACGCTCTGGCACACCTCCTCCAACTGGGCCAAGGCCGGCCAACTGAACTGAGCCAGATTCAGAGCACTCACACTTCTCAAACGATCTGTAGCTACGTAGCCAAGATGCGAATACATCTTAAAAAAAGACTATAAAAAACATGCGCATACCGGAGTAGGATAAACTTTTTATTAAATAGGAAAAGCTGGTCATAAACTATAAAGAAAACACTTTTACCAAACAAATTCCAGTGTGCACATTAAAAAGACGTCATGTGATGGTAAAAATGTGTGTGAATGGACAAACCAGCAGGCTGAGCACATTTTAGAATATCTGAAACGTTGTTTTGGTCATTCTAAAACGCCTTAACCATCTCAGTACTAGTATTATTACATTATTAATGACCTCCAGAATCAAGAGTGACTGTGCTGCGTGTCTCATGCCTTCAAACGTCACCGCGCATTCATTGCATGTCAGGATTCTGAGGCGCAAGTCATTCATTGAATGAAGAAAAGATTTAAGCAGCTTCTTCTACCGCAGCAAATTCTGTTTTTACTGTTAAAATTAGGCGAATATCAATCAGGAAGGGATGATTTTGTTCTCTATGACTCGTTGGATAGAAACACTGCTTTATTCGCACATCTTTTATGAGATATTCCAGTTTTGCGCATAAAGTTAATTCGCATTTTTGGATGGAAACATAGCTAGAGAGACTGTCATCTGATGTCCTAAGGCATGTTTCTGCAACTGCTAGCGAAACCGGAAAAAGTGATACATTATTTTGAAAGGTGCTTCAGGTGTTCAATTTCACTGTAATAAAGGTATATTGGTGAAGACAAAAAAGGCTTTTGTTCAAATGTAAATAAAAAGCTGAGAAATATTTTTTTTTTTTCATGATGATGCCTCTTGTAACCCTAACGCATATATATTCCTGGCAAAAAAATGCAGTGGTGGTGGTATCCCATACACACACACACACAAACAATATAACACAGGGATATCAACTACATCTTCTGAGCAGCGAACCAAGTTTTTTCCCCCTCAGGCTCTTTTCGCTCAAACTCTGGCGTTATCATCAGCTCTGAGACCTTGAGATGTCGCCCAGCAGGAAGAACACTCTATCCGCATGTGGCATGAGCTCAAGTCAAAACATTTTACCATCACAACCAAATACGAGACGACACAAGGCCTTCGCATTCAGACACAAGCACAAACTAAACTCCATCTGAGCATAAACTGAAGACATGACTTTAAAACAATGTCTAGATCTGACAGACAACACGAGTTATTAAGACTGATAGCACTCAGACGACTCCTGCTCACAGTTCTTATCTCGAAAGATGGCAAACCACATGCCATTTCCCTTTTACTGCTGAAAATTTGTGCCTTCTACTGTGCTCAATTTGCTTTTTTGTGTCTATTTAAGTTGTTTTTAGCATGTTAAAGTTTTCTAAAGCTTCATAAGTCAATTAAGTCATTGGGCCCAATCATACACCTGGAGCAATAAGACATCAGATGTGTTTGGCGCAATTTATTGGTATTTTCAGACCAATGCAACCCTAATTTTCACGTTTTGTGCCACGATGTTCAAATAGCATATCCCTTTGCTCCACTTTGAGGACTCATAAGCATGCTGGTCTAAAAGAGAGGTGTGTTTAGGTGCATCATTGGCTCGTTGCTATTTTGAAGAACTAAAATTGACCGCGCTATTGACCAACTAAAAGCAGGTCTAAAGTCCAGCACAGAGCGCGTTAGTTATGTGCTTATGCGAGTCCAAAACACATACACATTGCTTAATACACACAGGAAGAACAGCAATACAGAAATATCTTTACATATGAAAAAAAATTAAGGATTAAAATGTTACAAAAATGATTATTTTCTACATAAATATAAAAACTACTGCCCTCCATGCCTCATCTTGCATTTGTATAATGTTATCATTATTAGCAGCATTATTTATTATATGCATACTGCATATCTATATTTGTTTTAAGAAAACAAGTTTACATTTGTCCACCTGTCAGGTTTTGGAGATGTATGCATCATCATATGGGGCATAAGAATAGGACGTGTATTTAAATAAAACTTTTCTTTTTTTTTTTGACCCCATTTCATTATTATTGCTCATTTATTTGTTTTTTGGAAATTTGACCCCATTTCATTATTATTGCTCATTTATTTGTTTTCTGGAAATTATAACTGAATTTAGAAATGGTTTAGAAAAAATCCTTGCACTTAAACAAAAGTAAAGGAGTAAAGAGTAAAAGTAAAGTAAAGAGAAAGTAAAGAGGCCAATGGAGGAGGCTCGTTCTTTATCTATATGTAGATGCTCTGTTTAACTGTTTACTCGCTAGTGAAGCGTGCAGCTTTTCCACTTACAAAGTCCGCCATGTAAATAGCAAATGTGCCATGGCACGACGCAACTGACTCTTAAAAGTAATGGGAGATGAATCTGACTGGTTTAATGCACGTTATTCTCAAAACTACGGTGGCCGAGAGACCTTAACGCGCTGCAATTTAAGAAAGCACATGCAATTACAAAAAACATCAGCAAATAAACGATCTTCATCAATTTGACAGCACACGTGTTGCAAATTCACAACACAAACAACTGAAGAAACGCGCAGCAAATCAGTCACAACGGAATTGTTTCTAGGGAACCCAAAAACATGACAAACCCTGCTGAGATATGGATGTGTTATTATGCCCTGACTGTTGCTCAGTGAAGTGATTGGTGGTCTTTGAAAGGCGTGTTTTTTTTCGTTTATTTTAATATCCTGATGACACGACATGAAAAACCCATAATAAAACATATCTATGATAATAATACATCCATATCTCAACAGGGTCTGTCATGTTTTTGGGTCCCCTAGAAACATTTCCGTTGTGTTACGTGGATATTTGCAAGTGTTGTGACCAATTTGCAGCGCATTTCTTTAGTTGTTTGTGTTGTGAGATTTTGCTACAAGTACGCTGTCAAATTGATGAAGAATGTCTCTTTATTTGCTGGTGTTTTTTTGTAATTGCATGTGCTTTCTTAAATTGCAGCGCGATAAGCTCTGTCGGTCACCATACAAAACACACCATTAACTCATTAAGAGAATAAGCACAACCCTGTAAGACCATCTGCCAGGGTCGAAGAGCCTATTTTTCCAACCTTAAAATAGCAAGAGTAGATATGGCCTTAGTGATTTTGTGCCATGTGCTATTTTTGTGTCTAGATGGTTAAAACAGAGCCCACTGTCTCTAAAAAAAGAAGCGATTCTGAACTGCATGAAATGAAATATCTGTAACTCCAGTCTTACTTCCATGGTCAGTTTGAAACAAATTAATTTTATACCAGTCTACAGTCTTCAAAGCATTGTGTTTGGTTTATATTGTCCACATGTTGAGAAGACATGACCTTGTGTGCAGCAGAACCACTTTTTGGTTTTTCAGAACCATAATTTTTGGTAGCTGAAAATTCAGTGCATTTCTAATATATGCCTATAAACAATTGAATTCTGACCAATCATAGAAGACTGGACAATCTGACCAATTAGAGCAGAGTAATCCAACCAATCAGATCAGAGCCATCTTTCCCCGATTAGAGAATAAGTCCAACTACCTGTCGAAGACGCACTCTTTTTGCGCAGACTTTCTGCGTCCCAAATGACACACTATACTCTTATACACTTACACACTCAACAGCATAGTATATGTATGTAGAGTCATCCCAAATGGAACACTAACATTTTTTTTTTTACTAATCAGAAATTCAAACCATTTCCCTGATGACATTGGCCAAATATATGACCAAACTACCAAATAATCCCTGCTGTGAGTATAACCGTGTTCACCATCGGGGGGTGGCATAACTACTCTTGTAGAAGAATTTTGTTTTTACAATCCAAAATAAATGAAGTAATTCATTTGTGCAATTCTAGGTGTGCTCCACTCTGGTGAGTGGGCTTGACAAACCATCTGTAGGACACTCTTTTCTCTCTGTGGATGGGGTTGTGTGTGTTTATTAAAAAACACTGCTACCTAAACTAACTAGAAGACCTCTAAAACCAGATTAGGAATAATTAAAAAATATCATAAGCACTTTTAAGTTTGGGGTTTGTTCACAACCAGTACAGTGTTACCTTTAACCACAAGATGTAGTGTAGTTTTTATAGGTTGTGAAGTGCAGTTGGTTTGAGGTCACTTACATGCGACGGTGTTGTCTCTGGCTCTCGGCTTTGGCCCGCAGGTCCTCCTCCTGCTGCAGACGTTTGGCCACTTGCAGGTCCTGCTGTGCCAGGCGGCTCTTGTACACGTTGGATGCCAAGTGGCTCTCAACTGAAAGAAGAAAACAAATCAATTTAATTAAATTCATCTGCATTTCTATAGTGCTTATCAAAGTTACCATAGCTTAACATAGAAGGTCTAGTAAATTGAAACTGCGTCAGTCCAGTTTTCAGAGTTGAAGTTCAGTTTAGTTCAGTTCAGTGTGCTTTATTGTCACTGCTGATAGTCCAAACACTGAAGAGCAAATCCATCGATGGGCAGCTCCATAAATCCCAAGTCAATTCAACTCATCTTTATTTCTATACGGCTTGGTATAAATGTAGATTGTCTCAAACATAGATGAAATTTTAGTCAATTAAAATTGCTTCAGTTGTTTTGACACTTAAAATTCAGCTTAGTTAAGTTCAGTGCAATGCAAATGTCACTGCTGAAAATTGAAACATTAAAGAACAACTCCACCAAACAAGAAAATCTGAGAATGTTTAATGCAAATAAATTAGATGAAATGAACAGTCAAAACTGCATGCGCAGTGTTGTGAAGAACAAACAATTGGTTGGTAAAGTCGATATTTTAACACAAAATTAATATTTTAAAAATTAAATAAAGTGAAAATAAGTAATTGGCTGAATAATGAATCTCAGAATTTTAAGTTTTACAATTGTGTATGTACTGTAATATTAATAATCAGATGTGTGAACCTACACTGGTCTCACGGTTCGGTTACAATTATCATGCTATCGATTTGGTTCAAAACAATATCTCTGTGCATCACGGTGCATTGACGATGCTTTCCATACACAGTTTTATATGTTCTTCACAGCACAGCAATTCTTGTATTAAAATGTATAAATATATACAATTTGTAATACATCTTTGTCCCTTAATACAGTCAGATATATGAACTGTACCTTTAAAAACAAAAAAAAGTACATGCACAGAACAACACGAGCATTTATGGCAAATAAACAAATATAAATATCCCGCTCGCTTTCCGAGTCCTGTCTAGTGAATGCATTCTTGCACCCCCTATGATTGGTCATGCGCTCAACAGAAAGGGCTGTGATTGGCTCTAACGCTCTGGCGCTGTTCACCGATGATAAACTGCAACGGCAACCCAGCTGATCCATGATAGACGCAGTGGAGAAAACTCTGCAGACAAGCGTTCGTGTCTGTATCCAGAATTATAGCTGTAACAGCCAAGAGGAGAGGAAAAGTCATGCCAGCAGGTCAAAGTGAGAGAGAGAGAGAGAGAGAGAGAGAGAGAGAGAGAGAGAGGAGTACTTTCATTTTCTAAATCGCAGTGAAACAGGGGCTTCTGCTGTAATTGTCGGTGAAACACTGTCCAGCAAACACACACGCAGTGAAATTGTGCACAGCTTCTACATTAAGTAATTGGAGCATTGTAAATTCTCGCGCTTGCATCCCTCGCCATAGTAAGCTACGGCGACATATCGCAAATGAGATAAATGACGACAGTACACAATAACCGGTTATGATTATTACTGATATGATTATTACTGATATGATTATTACTGTCCGCATCTGCATCGTGGTGCACTGACGAAATAATTAATTTTGACACCCTTAATAGTTAATAAAAAAAAATATTCAAAAAAACAACTACCTAAAAAAATTATAATATAAAAAATGAAGATGCAATTAAAATTAACGAATGACTGAATAATAACTGACATCATAAAAAAAATAATAATAATAATAATATTAATAATAATAATAATAATAATAGTAAATAAAAATATAAAATAACTAAAAATCTAAATAAATAATAAATTAAAACAATATAATGAAAAGCAATAATTAATAACAAAAATAATAATGTTGTCATATTATTATTCAAATCTAAAGTCTAAACTAATTCAATATTCACTAAATCATTTCTTTTAAACAACTGAAATCTCATAAATAGCATCAAACTTGTTGCCATTTCAAGACCAAGTGCGACATGGACAACAAGGCAGTAAATCGCAGACACTGACGCAATTCTAGCCGAAGCAGTGCATCATCTGAACACAAGTCTGAACACTTTTATTGATCCTGTGACGGTGAGAACATAATATCTTTAGAAAAAACCATGACAGATTGAAACAGATTGACAGATTTATGTGACAGATTTAGCTGACGTCAGTCAAGCCAGTGACATTTGTTACGTGGAGCCATTTAAACTTCACGAAGAGAGAACGAGACCTTCATTCACTGAGATGCTGTTAGTTGGGACGATTCAGTACCATCTGGTATCAGGATGAAGAAAAGTTTGTTTTGGACATAAACTGCTCCTGTGGCTTGGTGAAAGGTCAAATCAGTTGATTTATCAATAAAAAAGCTGCTTTATTCAGTGATAAAAATAGTCTTCTTAATGATCTTCAAAGAGCAGCTTTCATGGAGTTCATAGAGTTTGTGAATGTTTTATTTTATGTATAAAATTATTCATGTGCTCTTCATTTATTTTAAACAAAGAAACAATTTAGATGCAATTTCTGTCAGTCAAATATTTTGCATGTCGGAATAATTAAAGCCAAATAAAGACACTCCAATTTTATACATTTTAATGTCATAAAAAGAGTTGTTTAATGAGTTTAAAAGTAGACAATCCTGCATAAATACAGCAAAAATGCAGTAAACTCATAATGAGAAGGACATTTATGTTTATATATTTTTACTTAACATTACTCAATTAATGAACAATATTCAACTGATTTCTCTGCTTTAACATTTCATTAACTGATTGCTACTCAAAGAAGAGTACATCCTAGTTTAAAAGGGATATAAACCATGTGATCTTTATTCCGCAGCATTAGATCAAATAATTACAATGAGTCTAAAAAACACCTGTAAAAATTAGGGATGCAACAACTTACCGGTTTCATTATTAACCGTGCTTTAATTCATCACATTTAATTAATCGTAAAGGCTTCTCAACACTGTCTTTCTGCACGAAACAAAACTGCTGCAACTAAACAAAGTTATGCCAACTGTAAGCTAGTTTAAAGTTCCGAGCTTAAACACCGAGGCTAATACGCACGCACACTTGAGAAACTATGGCTGAGGCTGTTAACTAAGGGCAGTTCCCGTATCACGCCTTTTGTGCGTGTAAGTTCATTATGTCCAATCGAGGCACGCAGCTTGCGTGCAAATTAGAAGCAACGCACCTACGCTTTGCAATTTTTCAATTTATTTTTAATTTTATTTATTAATAAATAATTCATTGTTCTGTCATTTATTTTTAGTGCAATTATGACTTATGTTTAAATGACTTATGTTTAAACTTTAGTTATTTCCAGCTGATGAGTGTAAAAGGAATACAATTTTTATTTTTTTATTCAAATTTGGAGTGCCTATTTTTATGGATAAATTATAGAAATGTTGTAAATTTTACATTTTAATAAATGGAAAATACTATTTTAAGCAACAAACAAAAGATTCCAGAAATTCCATGAGAAAGTAAAAAAAATAAATTCCTTGACTTTCAATGTCTGGAATAGACCTTTAAAAATGTTATAATATTGCAGAAATTCTATGACCTCTAGCAGTGTTTCCCAACCCTGTTCCTGAAGACACAGCAACAGTACACATTTTAACCTCTTCCTCTTTCAATTCAAACACAGGTGCACAAATAAGCACTGCTGGTGTGCCTCCAGGAACAGGGCTGGGAAACACTGGCCAATAGGAACCCTGCATATAATATTAAAGTGATAATGAAAAGTTTTCAAAATTGTGCTGGCCTATATGTTATCCAGCAAAACGTATTCTTAATAGCAGGTGTAAATTTTACATTTTAATAAACGGTGACTACAAGTTTAAGCAACAAACAAAAATCTCTGATATTCCATGATTAGAACAAAAAAATAAATAAATTCCTTGACTTTCAATGTCTGGAATACTAGACCTTTTAAAATGTCATGATATTGCAAAAGTTCCATGACCTCTAGCAGTGTTTCCCAACCCTATTCCTAAAGGAACGCCAACATTACACCTTTTCAACCTCTTCCTATTCAAACACAACTGAATCAACTCATCAGAACATATAAAGAAACTCCAAAACCTGAAATGAATGGCTCAGATAAGCGACACATTCAAAATATGTGTTTTTGGCATGCCTTTAGGAACAGGGTTGGGAAAAACTGACCTATAGGAACCCCGCATATACTATTATGGTGATAATGAAAAGTTTTCACCAAATTGTACAGGCTTATATCTTATCCGGTAAAACGTATTCTTAATAGCAGGTGTAACATACAGTGTAAATGTCTTTTCACTCTATGTCCACACATGGAATGACAATATAGCTCACAATAAAGCTGTGAAAAAAGCTAAATGACAATAAAGGTCAACTTGACTTGAAACAGGGGATAAAAAGACACCTTTAAAGCAAGAAGCTATCTGTTAGTCAACACTTTGGGTTTTTTTAGTCAACTTGAACCAATTACAAAACCTTTTGGTGGAATTCTTACAAATTTCCCAAACACATGATGTAACCGCATGGGCTTCAACACAGTTAAACATATTGATCTGTGACCAAAGGTGTAATAGACACAAACATAAGTAAATGGGAGGGAAGGTGGTTAGTTTGGACTTTTCTTTTAACTGTGATTCATTTTGCATGCTCTCTTTAGGACAGGGGAAAACCGTAACTGCATGAATGACTCATTCAGTGTCAATAAACAGCTTTAGGATATTAGGTCATTACATGCTGATTTCACATAATAAATAAAACAATAAAAGATCAGAGACTTACTCTCCTGTTCCTGAAGGTTGTGGGCCAGACAGTGGTCTTCGAGCAAGGCAAAGTCCCGACACACTGCAGACAGAAAGAAAGATGGAAGCCACATTATTTACTGTTAACCAAACATGACATCACACATTCAGGTCAAGGCACAATCCTCAGGTTTACAGGTCTATTTAAACACAGCACACACATTATGGCATTTATCTTACAGGGCCATGACACCCCCCACTTTGGTTCAGGTCTACCTCAGAGTTTTTTAAAAAGATACATAATAATAAGCGTGGCCAACAGATATAATGAGGGGAAGGAGGAGAGTGAACAACTGTTGTCAGCTCACAAAATGAGACACAAACCATGAGGGGACGCATGATTTTATAGTTTACAAAGTAAAAATGCAAAGAAATAAACAGTAATTTAATGCCCTGCTGCATTTGTTATTCGTCATTTCATATACACAACCAAAATTTGTACAATTGTAAAGATAATTGTGTATATAAACACTAAATGAGGACTTTTCCCTCAATCTCCAGGTCTAAATGCAGACTCAGTGCAGGAAGTCTCTTGCCTTGTCTATTTTAACCATTAGCCCTGTTGGTAATCTAGAGGATTTAGGCGAACACAGAAGCACAGCGATGTGTCTAAATCTTAACAAACTCCTGATAAAGGACAACCTCCGCCATTCTTCAATACTCGCACTGCTCTCCCGACAAAAATGCTTGCTACACACTCACAGCTTTGTTTAATCGGCCCTGACAGCATAGCGGGGAAAAACATGCAACAAACCCTGTGGATCATCGAAACAAACACATACGACCCTTCATAAACAGCTGAATAGTGGGTGCCGTGGACGCGGTTTCACCCAGTCATCAAGATAGGATCTTACAGCTTGGCACTGGCAGGTCTGCCTTGCAGTTGGAAAGCACGTAGTCATAAATAATTAAGAAGCCGTCTCTTCTCATAGGATAGGGAAACTTCGCTATGAATAATAATGAGAAACAGACGTGTCATCTTTGCACTTGCAGTTTTGCTCTACGTTGCCAATTTTGATCCCGCCCCAAAAATCTTTTTAAACCCAGAAGCTGAAATTAGCTGACAAAAGCTCAAAATTATCCAGTTTTCCCCCACAATTAAAGCTAACATTGTCTTAACTGATGCTCAACACACACAAATCTGTTAAAATCTCAAAAAAAGAATGGTTTCTTGAACCTTTAAGCTTGAATTGGATTAAGGAGTGTGTGGTATTTGTTGACATCGTAATAGGTTATTTTTTACAATGTGTGAGCTGATTATCATTCACTGCATGTTGAAGCCTATTCATAAACAGTTTGAATGAACCTATAATTCAAATAATTATGCTTTTACGTTTTATTTACAGGTTTCTGCAGGTTTCAAGTCAAATTTAAGACCTTTTTAAGACCATTATGGATGAAATATCACACTTATAGGGCAAACCGCAATGTTTCTTTTTTTTTTTTTTGAATGGCCAGTGGATATTTTTACATGTTTACATTTACATTAATTGAGTTTATAAATGTCATTTTTGCTCAACTTCTTTTTTAGATTGATTGTTGGTTGTACCAATTAAGTAGCTTCACATGAACAAAGAAAAATTAAGACCTTTTTGAAATGATTTAAGATTTACAACACTACATTTTAGTGAGTTTGGACTTTAAGACCTAAAATGTTGTTTTTAAAATGTAAGACATTTTTAAGACCCAGCGGCCAACCTGTATATATGATTTCACAAAGCATAATTTAAGGGTGCTTTCACATCTGTAGTTCACTTCATTTGGCAATAAATGATACATTGTTGCATTTTTTGTCGTCTTTGGGTCGTTTTCACACCAAACTGCTGGCTTTGGTCCGAACCAGTTGAAACGAACCAAAATGCTGTCATCTGACAAAATCCACATCTCTCACTGGCCAGATGTTGTTAAAGATATTTCCTAAACTGCTTATTGATTAGTTAGAGTTCACGTGTGGGAAAATGCCAACGAACTCCCGCAAGTAAACAAACCGGCAGACACAAAATGTCTTTTTTACTCAGGAGGGACGACTGCACTAACTGATTGTATGCATGCTTTAGACAAACTATACATTTCGAGAATGAAGCGCGGCTGCGGCTGGAAAACAGTGTTTTAATGCATCGCATGTCACTTCAGGAGGAGGCGTGATTTAATTTAGCTAAACTGCAACATGGTCATCTTCCGGAAATATTACCAACGATCCATCAGGTAATGTTTTCCCCTCTCTCTCTCTCTCGCTGTTGGTAAAGCGATGTCAACAAATATTTTTCCTCCTTATCCCATAATGCACAGCACTTTTTGCAGTTGGACCTGTTTTAGTACGGATTTGTACTATTTAGTTAGTTTCTCACCACAAACGAACCGCTCCAGGGTTCGTTTAAAAGCATACCGAGACCACCTCTTCAAGCAGATCTCGGTACGCTTATTTGGTCCGCTTTTGGTGCGCACTCGAGTACGATTGCTGCATTCTCACCTGCTGAAGCGAACCGCACCAAAAGGGAAAACGAACTCTAGACCGATTCAATCGAACTAAATAAGGCAGGTGTGAAAGCATCCTAAGACTTTGTAGGACCTTTATAAGACCATTATGAATGATATTTTAGACGTATACAAGTCCACATGCTAAAGATTTTTTCCCTAATAGCCCAGTCGATCTAGTGGAAAAGATTTTTACTTGCCTCATCAAAAAATATTTATTTAGCTATTTCTTAGCCACATATTTTACATAGTGTGTCATACAAGCAAACAACCCCAGTTGTATACATATATTACAGGCTCTTTAAAAAAAAATAAATAAACCAAATGTGTGCACATGAAACAGTCTATCAAGGTCGGTGTCCTCCACCTATATGGTCTACACATGAAGAACTTTCAAACTAATTTTATCATAAGGAAGATAATTAAACCACGTTGGTTATGAAGCTATTAAATTAGCTATTATAATATTAATTATAATTAAAGCTTTGTTAAAGGTTTTTTTGAGATGTTTTGTTGCCGATTGGATGGTTTTTTTCCTGATTGACAAGTTTTACATGGACATAGTAAAATTAAGACCGTTTAAAAAAATGTAAAACCAACAAGACAATATGTCAGTGAATTTAAGACTTTTGAAGGCCTATCGTTTTGTTTTTAAAACATAAGAAATTTTAAGACCCACCGAACACCCTGAAATATAACCGCATGAGTGTTATCACAAAGGTAATATTGATTTTATACGAACCAACTTTTTTCTGACTATAAAGTTTGGGACTATAAAAATAGTCCCAAACTATGCGAAGACGAATATTTATGCATTTCAGAGCAACATTGTGGTGTTTCATTCCTTAATCTGTTAACAACAGATAAAATTGTTAAGTTTTTTTAGTCTCTTGCTTAGTTTTTAAATGAGTTTTGAACAATACATCACTGATTTATTGGATTACTCATTAAGAAAGAAACTTGACAACAACTACGGTCAGTTTTAGTGTCATAATTATCCATGACAGGTCTGAACTAGCCAAGATAACTGCATCAAAACGCAGCTAAATTTTGCCTACTAAAATATTATTTGAAAGAAGAGGGGAAATTAGGTAGAGCTTAATACTTTTGAGGAATTATGCAAACATTTTGATTTGATAAAAAACATTTTTGTTAAAAAATCAACTATAAAAATAAACATTACATATACATTTTGTTGTTTTTCATGTTCTGTTCACCAAAAAATAAAAGAAGAAACATTTTTTTTAAATATCAACCATACCATCATTACATTGATAAAAAAAAAAACAACAACAAAATGATCTGATGCTGAATGGCTGAAACTGAAAATGCAATAACAGGCATGTTGATGCATAAACTACTAGGCAAAACTTATAAATTTAAATTAAGTTGAAACTGGGAGTTTTGTAAACATCCAGTTAGTCTGATATTTTACAGCTGTTCCAGACTCAAATGAAAACATTTAGAAAAGAAGAGTCTGTTTTAAACTGAAACCGCAGTGCATCAGACCATTTTCACCTCAGTTTTAAATATAACCTGAAAAACTGTCGTCTACATCAGCCTCGTTTAACACGCTCTTATCTGCTTTTCTGTGCCCTATGCTGACCTGATTCTGCACCTGGCAAACAACCAGCTGTTGTGACACGGTTCATAAAGTGGATGATGTCGTCGGAGTGCACTTTATTCACGACTAATAAAAAAAATAAAAAATTCCCTCAAGCCACCGACACATGCTTCGACAGCACAAATCTAATAAAAGCAACATTTGAATTTCAGTTTGCTATCTAAGAAAGGTTGTCGTTTCTAGAAACTAAGCAGGATTAATAACCAAATACACCAATTTCGCACCAAAAACTAATCACGTAATGCAAACGTAATTAGCAGTTCACACTGCAACTGGAGTTTGTTTGCTCCGTTAGGATGAGACACTGCAAGAGGATAAAATTAAGCCACTGCTGCAGATCAGTGATTAAAGACGTCGTCCATCTGCTGCTGATTAGCAACTTTAGCAGCATCTTGAGCTGAAGAGCTGCAGAACTGAGACTACTGGATATTCATAGCACCAAATGAGGAACCGAGAGTAAAATTTGCATTGGTAAACTATTCGCATTGGCTGGTGAAGCGTTATTGTGACATTTTCATGCAGTTTATAACATGCTTTTGTATGATTAAGAGAATAGATTAGCTAAGTAAAGATTTTAAAAAGGGACCAAAAACATATTGTACTGACAACATGCATCTTGCCTTCACTTCTTGCCTCTTTAAAGCAAAACATGTTAGCCGGCAGCCATCTTTTAATAAGAAATTAAATACTGGCTGTTGGTTGTTGCTAGATCAGACACGTTTGCGGCTGGAAGTTAACAAAAACAATTTATATTTTTTTATTAAATTTCATGTTAATTGTATGTTATTAACGTCTACCCCCACCAAAACCCTAAACCCAACCGTCACAGTAATGTAAAAACAGTAGTTGTACCAAGTATTATTTGTTATCTATTAAATTACCCCAATAAATTGTATTTTTTTAACATCTACCCTTACCCTAACACCATCACAGTACTTCAAAAA